TATGGGTTGTTGTTCTCCAGGATTTTGGCAGTTCCATCATTTTCGCAGCTATGCACAATTTATATTTTATTTTTTATGGTGATGTTAGTGATTTTCCACGATACCTTATATAGATATAGTTTGTCCGTGGTACATGTCTTTCAGTTTTTGTTGGAGAGAAATAAGGGTGTTGAGTCATATTATTTTTGGTTATAGTCCTAGGAGGCTGATTGTTTTGCGCCAATGGGTGTTGGCTTCAAGTGTTTTCACTCTTTGAATAGGTTCATTTTTTGTATCATCTAAATACTTTCTGCTCTAATTATTAAGTTTGCTCGTATTTGTATTGCAAGTTCCTGTATTAAAGATTAACCAGGTTAATGCCCGATACCTTCATAACCAAATTATTCATTAAAAGTGATCTGCAACCGGCCTACAACATTCTGTCTTTTAACAAAAACGAACATGAATCATTCAGAAAGTGGGGTTTCTTTGGTCAGGGTGTTGTATTAGATACATTAGTTTTTTGGTTAGGGTGTCCTAATAGCTGGCTTACGTACACTGACGAAGATATTTATAGGTTTGGAATCTACCAGGGAGATATTTTTGTTTAGCCTCTTCTGGGTTAATAGATAGTTCATTGTTACATTCAAGTTTGTATTCGCCATCAATATTAATGAATAACATTCCAAAATATATATTATGTGACCTTTTTTTGTAGGTAGAATTAATAGAAAGAATCTTACATTTTATTCAACTGATAAGGCCAACAACAAAGTTAAGCTTTGAACGGCAATATCTGTCATGTCATACATAACTCGCACAAACTGGTTGTGTCTAGTTGACGTCTAGCCCCACTCTTCATAATTTGAAGCTGGAATTGTGAGAACATGGTTGTGGAGGGGCCTTTATTGTCTTGCTCTGCGGATCAAACCGCTCATCTACAATCTACTGTTGTGTGTTGGAGTTTCATGTACAGCCCACCCGCTCTCATGGTTCCATTGTCACATTTTGCTGGTTTATCGTGGCCATCGATGGGCCTAAAAACATTTTAGGCCATCATTTACTCCTCAGTGTTTTTAAGCCACAATGGGTGGAATTTTATCTGTAGTCTGGTGATACATGAGACTGCATATTCAAGAGCACCGCTCGCTTTAGTTAACAGCCTCGGTAGATCGCCGCATGACTCGCATTCTTCTGTAAGTAATTGTTTTAATGAAACGGTTTAACTCTGTCTTTGTTCGGGGGGTGAGTCTATCTGGGAACCTTATTGCTTTTAAGGTTCATAGAAGAGGGCAGTACTCGTCATCCTAGGCTTGGTCTTTTCCTTCGCAGCGAATTGATTATTATCACATGTGTCAGTGCGTTTTCCGGCTGGAATTTGTCTTTAGGTTCCAAGCCGTCACAGCAACACTCACCGCTACTACAAATTCCTTGTTTTTTTTGTTAATTCGTTCTCTCTGTGTTTGTATTTAAGAATATTTCCCCGTATTTCACATTCCCTCTTGTTGTCCACTGTGAGATAGCATATACGTCACTTGATATTTCGCCGTAAACCTTGGATAGGGCGCTATTGGCAATATACAAAATACTGTATCAACCTCAACCTATTCCTCGGAAGGGCCCGTTGTAGTTTCAATTACTGCAAGGGCTGGGGCTACAAACACCACTTACTTCATGACGCGCAGTGATAGCTGCACATTGCCGCTTCTTAGTTGGACTTTACTGTGGGCGGTGCGGAAATTGATGTGGGACTGGGGGCCAAACATCTTGAGTGCTGTATGCTGAGAGGGGGGAGGGAGAGGGTTGGAGGGAAGCAAAAGGGCGAGGGATTGTGGGAGATAAACGGAGGGGAGTTGTGCTGCTGTTTGATTCATGGAGGGAAACATGGTTGGGGTGTACTGATGTGTGTAAGCATTAAAAAACCTTTGGTTGTTTGCCAAGGGGAGGAATTTATATTGTGTTTCCAATGAAAACCTCCATCAACTGTTTCTGCTGGTTTGCTTCCTAGGCCACTGCAATTCAAAGGGTCATTTATTCCCTTCCTCCAATTTCCTTCACCAAACCACCCCCAAACCTTAATTTCATTTTGTTTTTGCTGTTTGCACACTTCCTTCCTCTCTTATATCCTCCTCAGGGTTGATATTAGGGGGGCTGAAGGCGGATTCTATTGTTTACATATCCCAGCTCTACAGAACCTCTCGTACACGTCTAGGTGTCATGGCAGTGGGATACGTTCGTTCTCAACGCTCGAGGAACAACATGGGGGGTGTCGTGCCTTTGGGCGCCGCACCGTCCTGAGTCTATCTTATGTGCTATACTCAGCGATGACTGCTGATCGGCAGTCATTTCGCTGCAGCGCTAATTTCCCTCGGTAGTATATCTCGGAATCCTCGCCTCGAGTCTTCTCATGGCTCCTGTTCAACTGTTGATTCTAGTTCTTAGCTGGTAGACAGAAGAATTGAATGTTGCGTTTCGGTCTGTTTATGCTTTTTAACGCGCTGCATGAATAAAAAAACGACCTTTATGGCAACAATAGTGTTGTGCGTCACCATTTCCTCTTGCACTATTGTACTATCTGTAACCCTCTTTCCTTCATTAACGCAAATGACATCGGAGCTAGTGTTATGTTTTGTGTCATGGGCAGTCCGAGGGGGCATATGTGATTCGAGTGCTAGTTATCGCGGTCAGACTCGGTAGTAAAAGCTGACTGCATTTGACCATGTTTGGTGTTCCAGGTTCTTGCACCATAGTTCTGATGTGGCATTAATTGTTATACGTTAGATCTGGGGTTCTCGCAATGTTCCACAAGTGGAGCCAAGTGTGAAGGACCTACCTTTTGGGAAGACCAGCCCTCTGGGCCAGGAGGCTTTCAATTTCTGTCCTTGGTCTCTGAGTACCCACTGGTTTTACAGGGTATTACCATATATACTCGTCAAGCTCTAGACTTAATTGACCCTGATATTATATTCCTGGTTGTGTGAATCCCCTCTTGTCTTCTCCTCATCTTTTTCAACACTGTGATGTATATTTTCCTTCCTGAACAGACCTCCATTTTCATGTTTTTTATATTGGTTACTTTAACTAGGTCTCATTCTCTTGTCTTGCTCGGTATTGGTTTCTGTTTGCTTCTCTCTCTCCACTTTCTCCTCTGTCGTCCACTATCTTCCCTGCTGGATCCCGTTGGTTTTCCTATCAACCAACTGCACCCGGCTGTCCATCGTGCAGCGATCCTTCATCACTCGCTTAAAGGGTAATCTGAGCGCTTAGTCTGCAGCTGATTCGTGACGACCGCTTCGGCGCTTCCGATTCCAACTCTGTTCCACTTCCGCATGTCGTTGCGCACGATCTCGAGAAAAGGAGGCAATCCGGTCTTTTCGTGCGCGCGCTCGATTCACAGCTCCCCCCAAGGTCCGGTGCTCTTTCCCATATCCACACAGAAGTGTTCTTTCACATCACCCTTTCTGCTCCAGCACAAGCCAGCGTCGATACAGGCCAGGACACGTTTTCAAAAGTGGCAACCTCCAGGGTTGCCGCGCTCAGATCGCTTGACTTTTATAGATGCACTGGTATTGCTTCCTTATGCTCGTGTGAGTATCTGTTTAAGATTATATTTCTGAGTAACTCATTGGTTAATCACTGGCTATCAACTCATACTCTCTCAGGAGCACTCTCTGTAGCTTGATTAATAGTTTGATAGTTGGTACTGTATTCTCAAGCCTTGAAGTTGGTTCCTGATCCCGCGGGTGATGTTCGATCTTGCACCTCTAATTGTCAATTAATTAAGTCAGGTAAATCTTATTACAAAAGCTTTATTGAGCTGTGTGCCATAAACTAACTGGAAATCCGAGATAAGACAGCTGAATTGTACTCAGATTTTCAGAATACTCATCAAATTTGTTTATATAAGGGCGTTCCTTTAAGTGACACAAAGCCTTGATTACAGTCAGCTGGAACAACCATACCATTTTTGTCATGGTAATTATTTTTCAGTTTGTCTAATTAGTATTATCTTACTTACAATATAGCAGTATGCTCTCAAGAGACAAACATGCTGAGTCCTTTATTATATTCTCTAAAGGGCGATTTTAGAGAGTCAAGTGATACAAGTATTCGTCGATATCCATGTGGCTTGTACTTAATTTCCACAATTGCTTTCTCTATATGTATAACGGCTTCTACCTACCTCCGATATAGTTGTTGGATTGAGTACTGTGCTCATGGTCAATTGGCATTGCATTCAGTGCTGTGTACTATGTGATGTTTACACTTACGGACTGGTTTATCTTGATTGGAGTAGAAACTCTTGATATTAGGCTCTTAGCATCCCATAACCCTATAGACTTGAACTGATAAGTTACACATATGTGAAACATTTATCAACAATAGGTTACCAGGAAACATTGTATCTTTGCGTTTTTTTGATGTTATGGCCTTTTTCTTTCCTTATATAAGGGAAACTGTGTCCTATCTGAGTTTATCACTTGAAGGCTTTTGTTGAATCATGTGTTGAAATTTTACTACATGGATCCTAGTAGTTGCTGCTGTGGATACCTCTAAAAACATGCAGTTCATACTTATATTGGTCCCGTCGCCCTGTAAGTTAGGTCTCTTACTGGTATGGCAATCCATCAGTCGGTGAATCTCTATGAATCGATACGGCGCGGTCATATGGACTGCTCGAACAATCTCAAGCAATTCCAAATTAGGCTCGTAGAAAGTATCTCTGCTGATCTAACTGTTAGGGATAAGAGCTGTTTCGGCACACATGTTATCCTGTCGCGGTGTTAGTTGCGCATGACATGATCCTACGTGGTTAGACGCCGAGGAGTCTACTGACGCGATGTTTGTCGATTACCTCTCTCTCGCTCCACAAATATCTGTATAGGGAGGAGGATTGGTGTTGATGTGTGTGTGCGCGGCTGCCTGTGTGTGTCCAATTGTGTGTTTTCGACTAGATATGTGTCCTGTGGTAAGATAAGTCTTCTAGTTCTTGTATTCATCTTGTTAATCGTTATCGACCGCTAAGGATTGGACCGCGGCGAAGTTCGTTGATCAAAATGTAGCCTAGTGCTGCTGCTTTTTTAATGCGTGGGATCTACACGGCAGCAGAGCAGATGAAGCAAGTTGCGCGGCTACTGTGGTGTAGGGCAGGTTGTACGCGTCATGGTCTCATGTTCCGGCTAGTTGCGCTGAATTGTACATGGTCCTCTGGCTGAGGGCTGATCTTCATGGCCTCCCTTGCAGCCTTCATCCTGCTCTGCTGTTTGCTTGGATCTCCGAGTATGATGGCGGGAGAGATTCTGTCAGACCGGGAGGTGGTCGACTTCCGAGTAGACGTAATCGTGCCACAATGCTGAGGTCACAAAAAAAGAATAAGGCAAACTAGGTGTGACAATATCTGGGGAATACAGATTTGTTGTGTAGTTGCAAAGACATGGCCTTAAAAACCGAAAACAACGTGTGGCGTGAGGATCCTTGTCTTCCAGGAGCAGAACATGGACAAAAACACATAGGTGTGTACGAATTCCTGTTCCATTTTTTCCGCTGATGAGGGGGAATTCATGTGTCATGGAATGTCATTAAGGGGGTTAGAACAACAAAGAAGAAAACTGCAGGGTCTGCAGGCTGACATTATTGGATAGTGATAAATAAGGGATTTGTGAACAGGTTCGCCAATGAGGGAGGTGGACGGAAGATGCTATCAATTCTAAACCCTGGTGGCTCTATGCGCTGTCGAATCGTGACAGAGAGTATTAATTGGGATTGGATGGTGACAACAACACATCTCTTCAACATTTGCTTCAGTTGGTTTCGACAGCTCAAATCTCGCCGGTTTTCACAGCTCTTCCTCTCTCGCTTTCCCGTGCTCTCGTTAACTCGTAACAAAGCGCAGATATGGCGCCGTTTCACTGGATCATCTACCAGTAAGTTGAAACACCTGCGAAGTCTTGGGTGATGTAGGTTTAATAGAAAAGCGGTGTCTATTAACGCGTTCACCTTTAGATCATCAAAGTCAGCGAGAGTTCCTGTGCTTATATCACGCTTCGAATTCGAATATCTTGCACTATTGTTCGATTATCGTATGTAAGGGCCTCAAGGTTTATCCTGATGTACCACGTTATTGCGATTTGCGGGCTTTTGTCTCGGGATTTCTGGCAACGGTGGAATATTGTTTTTTATCTCAAGTATGCCTTCAGCCTGTGAGTTGCCCTGTGTATTATCCTCCTTCAGAAGGTTTCCTCGGTCTCCATAGATTTGTGGAGCTTTGCATTCGCCTGTTCATTCTGAGGCCAGCTCATTGAGTTTTGCGCCCTTTAAGCTCCACCTCCCATGAGAGAATGAAATAAGAAGTAAGTAATTAATTTGAATGGAAAAGTGTTGCAAATGCCTGTTAGATGGATTTCTAACGGGTACTTTTTTAATGTTCTACAGAGGGTTGTTGGCAGAGAGTTGTGTCCGTTGTGCTCATACGAGAACTCTTGATGGTATTCGTGAGGGGATCCCTCATGGAGTGACATCGATCTCTATTGAATTGGCCGTTTTGGGCCTGTGGGAGTTAACAGAGGTTAGACGCGCGCGCTTGCGTTTCAACGTGCTGTGTGCGAAGCTTTTATATTATGTCTGGAGGTCTGGACGCGATATTGTCTCTATATCTCTCCCAATTTTAAAGGCAGGAATGCACAAGGTCTATTTTTTTTGTATACCCATACAGTTTACTTCCATTTGTTAGTTCGCTCTTGGACCTCCTTTTTTAGGGCAAACTAAAACAGCATCACTAACCGATTCCCAATCGTTCATTTCTCCTCTCTCCGGGCATCCATATTGTTCGCACTCACTTCGTCTCCCTCTCAACTTCGCGCTGGTCTCGCGCATCTTCAGTCCAGAACATGTAATTGGTGTTTTTTACGGGCACTGTCGCCGATATTCACGCAGTTGGAGAATTCGGAAACATAATGGAGCGTGTAGCATTCGCTCTTGCCTGCCTGTCATTTTTGTTGTCCCATGGCGCCTTTTTGTAGGCAGGTAACCATAAGGCCTACGGTAGCTGGGGAGCGAGTTACTACTTTGGTGAGATTTTGCCACTTTCTTTCCAGGTAGATACAGATTACGTAATGGGATTGTGGCGTTCCGGGACGGATGTTCATGGCTGTGAGTGAACAGCCTTTCTCGGTATCTAATTCCAAAGTCACTACATCTGCGAGGGATTATAGCGGGCCCGGGTTAGATCACTGAGAAAAAAAAAATTCAATCTAACATAATAGATGTAAGACGAGTACTTGTAGATATGTGGGAAGGATGTGTTTGTTTGTATTTTTTGATTATGAGATTGTAGATGGACTGGATGTGTGTTACTCATGTTAGGGTAAGATGGTTACTCTCATTGGGATTTCTGCACTGACACGAGATTATCGCTTGTATGTGTTGTTGTGTGTGATTTAGATTTGTGTTATGATAGCTTTTCGGCGTTACACATAAAAAATAGTATAGCACCGGTATACTCCGATGTATTAATACACAGGTTGGACTATATTACTACAACCCAGCCAGAGCTCCTCACTCTACATCGAAACTCCCCGCCTAATCTGGAAGATCAAGAGCTGGCGTATTCCTCTTTTCTATTTAATTATATCTATCTCTGGCATTCTGTCTCGTAGTATCTGCGTGCCTTGCGTTTTGGTTGTTGTCGTTCAAGCAGCGTGAGATGTATGAAAGTTTCAAATACTGTGATCAAGGCAGCGGGTAATGGCAAGCTTTGATAACGCGCTTGTGGTTTAACATGGTTGTATTGATGGCCTCAATATCTGTTTTTGGCAAGCCGTACTAGCAGTTGTGCAATATGTCCATGTGCGCTAAGCTATGTTGCTGGCTTGTGTTACTAGAAACTCGTACGCATTTCAAGTGATTATTGCGGTTGATGGGGTGCCAGCCTTTTAAGTTGTGGCATTCCCAGCTGGGTTGATCCATGTTTTTCTCACGTTCTTTAGATTTCTGGTACGTAGATTATTTGGTCATCTCGATTACACGGCTGACCGTAACACATGGCTAACATAACACAAGTTTTAGTTTACATACATTGTGCCTGACGTTTTCGTTTCACGTCTTTTAAACTTTTGTTGGTTGCTAGTTATTGTTTTGTAGTTGTCGTTTGTACATTTTTATTTTCCTATTAACATGAAGTGACCTTAAAAAAACATTTGTTTAATAATGAGTTGCGGTCGCTCTACTTCATTCCTGTGTATGTCCCTCGGTTCGGTATTTGCTCCGTTAGGGCTTAATGGGACTTTGACGGTGGCTTTTCTGCAGAGAGTTCCCTTGGGTTTGGTCTTAACGAGTCGAGCGGTCTCCCACCTCAGCCTACTGGTGTCTTGCAAGCTATATAATCGCCATGTTGTTCTCTTTCTTGGACCATAGACCAAAAGGTGGCCTAATATGTATTTGCTTCACATCAAACGCCCATTAGGCTTTATCAGGCCAAGCTATCCCCGTCTTTTTAGCCGGCGTTGCTTTATGTCGAGGTTGACTACCCTGTTATCTGGTTTATCAGACTGGTTTTTATAATCCGGGTCCGTTGGAGTCAACTTTATTATGTCAATTTATTTATTGTTGCAGGGCTCAGTCGATTATCGCTTGCGTTTTTATCTACAGACATTGCAGGTCTCCTTCAATGGAGTCCGCCATGTTGAAGCGCTTTGTTTCTACAGTAGCCCAGAACGGACAAACCAAACACAGGCTGTAGATGGCGCTTGATTCTTGATCTTCAACATAATGTGGTGTTTCATCTACATAATTACTCATGTAAAACAAATTGTTTTGTTGTCTCATGTCATGTTCACTCACTGTTCATAGCTAGATAAGTCCTCTGTTAATCCCTTAATGCACATGCAACTATGAACAGCTGGAAAAATGGAAAGGAATTCTGTAAACCTGTTTTTGTCATTGCTGGAGAGTCTAGACATGTTTGGTTTAGGCATGTTGAAACAACAAACCCTGTATGACCCATCATTCATATCCTGTCTTTCCTCTCCTCCCTGACTGTAGCACATTGTGCGGCCTGACTACGTAGACACTAGACTGGTCCCAGAATGGCCAGACTACATAGAGATCAAGAGCCAAGAGCAGATTGAAGGCCTTGCTAGAGCATGTCAGCTAGCCAGACATGTACTGCTACTAGCTGGACACAGTCTGAAGGTACAAGCCTGCTCTACAAGTAATGTGTGTGTTTCTATATCATAAAAACAGCCTAACATTTATAACCTGTGGTTTCCAGGTTGGTATGACAACAGATGAAATAGACTTCATCGTACACCAGGAGACAATCAAGCACAATGCCTACCCCTCCCCTCTCAGATATGGGGGTTTCCCCAAATCAGTCTGTACATCTGTGAACAACGTGGTCTGTCATGGCATACCTGACAGGTAAATGTGCAGAAGATCTACCCTCAACATTTAGATCAGAGAATATCACTGCTAATGGGAATGGGCCTCGTACATAGAGAGAGTGCTCATACAGTGACACTTAGTGTCCCACAATATAAACTGCATTTTAATATCCACAGCAGACCTGATATAATTTAAATTTCAAAATAACTCACAAGCCTTATGTATTACAGTGTCATAAAGAGAGGCCTAATTTAGAAGAAAAATGTTTTTACTACATTGTTGATAAAATGTTCAATATAATGGTATATATTCTGTCCAAAGAATCTCAAAGTTAAATCACATTTCACCGCACTTAAATTAATGTTGGCAACAGAAATCTTTAAATCTTTAACTTTCTATAGACATTTGGAATTAAGAACTTGGTTGAGAAGTTTTTGAGTCTGTATCATTTTGGATCAGAATTCCTTTTGCAATTTGTCCTTTTTTAAGGTAGATATAATAAATACAAAATATAAATATGTACTGTATATTTAAAAATTGAGGTACTATGAGTATGTTCTGTATTAGTTGTATTATAACGTAAAAGTTGTACACTTTATTTTTATATGCCCGTCTCCTGCAGTCGGCAACTTCAAGATGGAGATATCATCAATATTGATGTCACTGTGAGTTGATGCCTTAACAGACACAAATAAACTCAAACACAATACTACAAATGGGATCAGTCAGAGCAACACCGCTCCCATCACTAACTTCTGCCTATTGCTGATAGGTATATTTGGATGGTTTCCATGGTGACACCTCAGAAACGTTCTTGATTGGCGAGGTCGATGAGGTTGGGCAGCGATTGGTAGAAACTGCCAGGCTTTGCAGAGATGAGGCCATCGCTGCCTGCATGCCGGGTGCACAGCTCTGTGTTATAGGAAACACTATCAGGTAGAAACAAACACACACAAAGAATACCTACGTACCATATAGTCACATTAATTTTTCTAATATTCCAACTAATATTTTCTGTACTTCCGGCAGTGAAATAGCTCATGCCAGTGGCTTCCAAGTGTGTCCTTATTTCATTGGACATGGAATAGGCTCCTACTTTCATTGCCATCCTGAGATCTGGCACCATGGTAAGTTTGGGTCTGTCGACAGATGATGTGGTAGCCTCAAAAATACTTTCTGTGTCATTGTATGAGTTTATACAGCAATATGGAAACCATGTTGCCAAAAGGTCTTTTTATTTAATAAAGAGAATCTTCTTTTTCTTTCTTTTCAGCTAATGACAATGACATGACCATGGATGAGGGCATGGCATTCACAATAGGTGAGTTACCCTTTTCAGTTTCTGTTTGCACATTAAGAGGCCGCTGTGTAGAGGCTGATATTGTCTGTTTCTATAGAGCCCATACTGATGGAGGGGTCTGTAGAGTTTAAAATACTGAAGGACAAGTGGACCGCAGTGTCTGCAGATGATAAAAGGTAGGTGGTTGTCTTTGTGCTAAGCTAAGCACAGTGCCTCCTAGCTCCTAGAAATACTAGCAGTCTTCTCATCTCCCTCTCAAATAAGCATATTTCCCCCAAATGTTGAACTATTCCTTTAAATTCTCTTTATGTGCATTCTGTGTTTTTTTTTAAATTGACATTGATGCAGGTCGGCTCAGTTTGAACACACGGTGGTCATCACATCTGACGGAGTAGATATTCTCACCAAACTGCCAGAAGAGAGCAACGGTGACCTGAAGGGATCTGACTGCTGACCCACACATCGACTGTTAGAACCATCTTTACATCAACAACTACTTTTTATGATAATGGAAAAGACACTGTTAGAACAAGAACTTAAATAGTGACTCACATAGACCTATTTTAAACCTGCAGTTTCTACCTGTAAATTGTGTAAAAAGAAAAATAAATGTTCTTATTTTACTTTTAATTATTAACAAGAGATTATACATGCAGCATCTGTATATTCAGTTTGACCCATTTCAGTCAGTTCTTTTGCTACCCCATCAGCAGCTGACCAGTTTTTTACTTTATGACAGAAAGTACAGTGACAGTTAAATGTGATTTGATTTGAACTAGAAGGGATTCGTAACAGTTAAATGGGAGTAACACTAGCAGGGTCTAAACCAGGATGTTAGACTTACCACCAACCAAAAGGTCTTCTGATTATTTAATAAAATCACACAACCTCAAAGTTTTCATTTAACTGTTCAATTATATTTTCTGTAATATTTACCACACTACACTATTGTCTGAATGTTTTAAACTTTAAAGTTTACATATCATGACTGTCGAGAAAGCTTTAAATCTTTCTCAATAGTAATGGTATGTAACTGTTATTTATTTATTTTGCTGAAAATATTTAAGTGTTAGTCTGAAATAATATCTGAATCATCAGAAAAACCCAACAACTCGTTGACTTATTTTCAATAAACCCCCTGAATCCCAGAAATATGGTAGGACCTGCTGGAGCTTGTGCCCCCTGTATCACGACTGAGTCCTTGCTGCAGTGGTCCGTGTTCAGGTCCAACCTGTGGGCTTTTGCTGTTGTTATCATATGAAGGCAAAAAGTCTGAAGAAATTCTAATAAAACAAATCCCAGAAATATTGCACAAGACATTATTCCAGTGTTCTCAACTGTATCTATGGTCCTGAATACGAGCTCAGCTGGAGTTATGTGGTCAAGACGTTTTTTGCACCCCTTTGAATCATAAAATACAAACTGCATATCAGATACTGTGGCAATAATGTCAGTGGAAATCTGTCCTTTGGTGTCATATTGAATAGCCAGTAGATGGCAGCACACACACTAATATATTGGAGCATGTTGCAACCAGCACAGGCTTTTCCCCCTTATCTCTATTAACTTGTGATGGACAACAGCACAACTGCATCTGACCATCTAAAATGTGTTTGTGGCCCATAATCAAGAGGGGGAGACAAACAATCTCAATAAGTGTAAGCCTGCCTCCTGATGTTAAAGTCAGGAGAAAGTTGAAAGTCAAGGCCTGAGGTTATCTTGTTTATCAACTGCTTAACATGGAGCTTTTCAGTATCACTTAGTTTTCAATGAAAGACTGATTGAACATGTTGAAGACACATTGCTGCTTCAGCGTTGTAATTTCCAGGTGTAGAAACATCCTTTTGGGCTTTAACCGTTCCTCTGTCTATATCTTTTGTCTACAGGTGGATTTAATAAAGAAAAGAACAAAAGATCTCGCAACACCCTTTGTCTCTTTACCTCATCTACTTTTACAATAGCACTCAACATCTCTGACATTGCTCTCTATGATTAGAGCGCAAATTACAGGTTTGTTAATTCACACAGAAGTTGGATTAGAGTGCAGCATGTGAGTGATTAAAAGCGTCTCCTACCAACCTACAAAAAGTTCTCAGAGAGTCCGTCTGTTCTTAACGCTGTGTGGGTAATGTTGTAATGATACTTCTGAATACAACTAACTGAGCGTGTGGTGAAGATGCTTCAGAGAAAAAAAAACAGAGGAGGAGAAATTGGATTCCAGCCCACTGGGTGTGTTTTCACTTCCTGCCAATGTACTCTTGAGTGTATGTGTGTGTGTGTGTGTGTGTATGTGTGTGTCTGTGCTCATGCCAGTGCCAGTTTGTGGGTGGGGCAGGAAGGATTACACAAATAAAGGTGGTTCAGCTTATCAGGAGTCTGGTCATGTCCAGCCAGGATATGATTCAGGTATTGTAATTTAATTTAAAGCAAGACATAATTTGATAAGAATTACGTGTATGTTTATTCACAGGGTTGTCACGGGGTATACCATAAATTAAGGGACTCATAGCCTGAAATGTTCACGAGCACTCTTATACATTCAGCTTGAGGGACAAAATCTGAATTTTAGACCAAAGATCCACTAAAATATTTAACCGAAGTCCACTTTCTATTTGTTAAAGCAGTACAGTACTCCCCACTTGATTTTAGGGCAGGGTGGTGTGTGCGTGGCTTAAGGAGAGTGAGCTTCCTGTGAATCAGTACAGGAGTCATGTAAACTATTCTTAATGGCCTCCCACCAAAATATGATTCATCAAACATCTGAAAAGATATCAGAGATATCAGACAGCAAGAATAAGTGAAAGTGGATGCAGAGAGCAGACGTTAGATATTAGGGGGTGGAGGATTTAGGGAGGAGCAGGGAGTGGCGGGGTGAGGTGTTGGATTGTGGTCATGAATTCCCTCTCCTGCCTCTCATTCTTTTCCTGCATGTTGGGACGCATTCCTGCTCTCTCCTCTGGCTCTGCAGATCTCCTGTGAATCCTCGCCTGCTTATGTTGAGGATCCTCTTCGGTTTTCAGTCTTGAAATAACTATTTAAAAAATGTGTTCTATTGTTTAAGATTGAAACCTTGTGTATTGTTATTACCTCTGCAAAGGAGGCGATGTTTGGGTTCCAGTTTGTCGGTCTGATCCCCGTATTCATATAATCTTCAGCAGACTTGGTGAATAACACATTTGGATGAGGCCCAAAAAGATTCTTTTCAAGCATGGATAATGTGACATAGAATACCACAATTCAATCATATAAAGTCTGTAAAAACACTGAGCCTGACACAAAACAAATCTTCAGAAGCTCAATTTCTAAGGTTTACTGCGAAAAATGTCTCAGATAAAACTGTCTTTCTCTAAAAAATGAAACATTTGAACTACTACAACACATAATAATTTTACCTAAAATATCACAACAATTGTATATAAAAGATTGCTTTGTTTTTTGCAACAAATGTAAATGGATATAAGTAAGTGGTCACAAGTTCACCCTTTATGATTACAAGATTTCATGATTGTCTATCAATGTATGTATTTTTAATGCACAGGCAGATTAACTATTCCTAGACCAAAGAGACAAATAAAGAAGTTTCTTCTCTGGTCCTGAAAGACTGTATTTATATCAGATCAGCTGTTTATTTGGTCTGTTTGTTCAGCCTCCAGTTTTCTGGTTTGCTATTGTTGACATTTGTGCAGCCTTGATAGAGCGTGGGTTCTCTGACTGTGTTTTTTTTTTTTACGGCTATTAATGTTTTATCTCCTCAAAACAAATACAGCTTTCTTCCTGTGTTCACGGTGGATGCTGCTCAGCTATCAATTCATTAAAAAACTGGTGCTGAAGATACGGTCATGTGACGTTTATATCTGCCGTCTGCATTCCTCATTCATTCCGCCATGTGTGAGGACACCTCTCTCTCTCTCTCATATACATAATAACATATTTAATGTCTACTGCTTAGTTTTTTTTATTTTTGGGCTTTTGTTGCCTTTATTATAGTGACAGCTGAAGATAGACAGGTAGAGAGAGGGAATGACACACAGCAAAGGGCCGCAGGTCGGATTCGAACCCTGGGCCGCTGCAGCAAGGACTCAGCCTCGGTACATGGGTCGCCAGCTCTACCCACTGAGGTAACCGGGAC